CGAATTGGGAACCTTGGTCTGTGGTGATCGGCAAAGGTGTTCCAAACTGCGAAATCCAATGAGCAAACAGTGTGGTAACCACGGTGTTTGCTGTCATGTCACATAGTGGTATTGCAACTGGCCACCTGGAAAAGCGATCAATTATTGTCAGACAATAACGCAAACCTTTTACCTCAGGGAGAACGATGAGATCCAGATGAATGTGATTGAATCGGTTATCAGGTACATCAATTTCCTTGGATGGCAGTCGATTGTGACGATGGATTTTTGATCATTGACAAGCAAGACATTCTCGAGACCATTGTATAGCATCTCGTCTGATACCAAGCCAGATATACTTCTGTTTGAGATGGTGAGAAGTAGTTTTTTGATTGGGATGAGCCAGACCATAAACACTGTCGAAGGCTTGTCTACGAAGTGCAGATGGAATAAATGGTCGAATGATTCCCGATGAAATGTCGCAATAAATACCAACATCTGGTTCCACTGTGAGCTGCTTTAGTTTCAGTGATGAATTGTTTTTGATCAGATCCTGCAATTCATCATCAAGCTCTTGTGTTTGGTGGATGGTGTGAGAACTCAATGGTGTGGGCATGTTGCTCGTGTTGATGGTGTTGATTCTGGAGAGTGCATCCGCTACTACGTTGTCCCCACCTTTCACGTAGATGATGTCGGTAGAAAATTGGGAGATGTAATCCAGCTGCCTTAATTGTCGATCAGATGCTTTGTCCAGCTTTTGTTGGAATGCATAAATTAATGGTTTGTGATCTGTTCGGATGATGAATTGACGACACTCGAGAAGATGCTTGAAGTGTTTGACAGCAGCGAAAATCCCCAGTAATTCACGATCATATGTGGAATATATGGTCTCTGTATCATTGAGTTTCCTTGAAAAAAAACCAACTGGTTTTGTGACATCACTTTCTATCTGCTCCAGGACAGCTCCAAGGGCTGTTGTTGAGGCGTCTGTAGTGAGTATGAGAGGTGCTGTGGGAGGCAAGTAGGCTGTTAATGTGAGAGAAGCTAGGCTCTGCTTACAGGTCTCGAATGTTTTTTCACCCTCAGTTGTCCAGCTGATTTTAGTCCTGTCATTCTTCTTGTTGGAGTTCTTCGTATATGCATTGGGAGGAACTTGGTGTGCTGCTGCATCAGGAAGAACAAACGATAATAATTTATCATTCCTAAGAACCGTCGAAGCTCTATGACTGTCTCGGGTTTTGGATAATTGATAATTTTGTCTACTCGATCAGTTGCTGGTCGATAACCGTTGGCTGTGATTACATATCTGAAGAAAGTGACTTCAGGTTCTCCAAGTACACTTTTATCGACGTTGATCGTGAGTGATTGTTGTTGTAACCTTTCAAAAACTATGCGGAGATGCTCGTGATGTTCCTCAGGAGTTGTGAACATGATGAGAATATCATCGATGTACACATAAACGAAGTCCACATCCCGAAAGATGGAGTCGATAAATCGTTGAAAGATTTGAGGCGTTCTTGAGACCAAAAGGCATCAGCAAATATTCGAAGAGTCCCCAGGGTGTTATGACTGTTGTTTTTTTCAATATCATCACTGTGCATAGGTATCTGGTGGTATGCCCGAAATAAATCCAATGTAGAAAAAATTGTCTTCCCATACAAAAGTGGAAAAAGATCTTGAATCAGTGGAGGTGAATATTTATCTGGTTTCGTAACTGAATTCAACTTACGGTAATCGCCGCACAGTCGCCAGCCGTTAGAGTTCTTTCGTGCCAAATGTATTGGACTAGCCCAAGGACTGCTGGATGGCCGACAAATTCCGGATTGCAACATGATATTGATCTCGTTCTTTGCCGCTGTAGCTTTTTCCCCTGCTAGTTTATGAGGACGTTCGATGACTGGAGGCCCGGTGGTAACTATCCGATGTGCAGCAGAAGATTTCAGTGATGTAGGAGTGCGGGCTGACTTCGTGATAGAGATGAACTCTTGAAGTAAATCCAGGTACGATTGATTGGAACTTAATGTTGAAACCCCATGAATTGACGTCCTACACACTTCACCGTCGAAGTGCATGAAGTGGTGGAGTCGATGAGCTGCTGGTTGTGAAGATCCACGAGCAGTGAGTAGCGGGCGAGAAAATCTGCTCCTACAATCGCTGATTGTATATCAGCGAGGAGGAATGTCCATGAAAACTTTCTCCGAAGATTGAAGTCCAATGAGAGTACGTGAGTACCATACATGTGAATCACTGAAGAATTGGCTGCATACAGCTTGAAAACGTCTTGCTTTGGATTGCTAGTAAAATACTGCACTGGTAATACTGAGACCGTCGAGCCAGAATCAGTTAAAAATTTCTGTCGCGTAGTCTTGTCAATCAGGTGTAAACGTTTCTCTGCTGTGATGTTTATCGGATTGCTGTCGTCAACAAAATTTATTGACGACAGCCCATCTCATTTTCCGACTGTAGAGTCGTCGAACCTACTGAACAAGGTTTAGTATACCGTCTCGCGTTATCACCATACCTCCAGTGATAAAAACACATCGTTGTTGAGTTCATGTTGGCTGGAGATTTAGAATTGGGTCCTGGCTTCTTGTTATGAGAGCGATGACGTGAATTACTGTTGAGGTTACTGACTTTCGTGGTTAGTTCGTTGAACCCTTGAAGCAACGAATCAAACTTGTCGCTCAAATTTTGAAGTCTATCCTCGAAATTGCTTTTATGGTGGTTCTTGTGATCAGTGGCCATAACAGTTGGAGATCCAGAGATGTCAGGGAGTTTATCTGCACGCTCCGCCATCTTGTAACGTTCTAAAGCCTCAGTAGCAGACAAGATGCTGCGTAATGTGATGGGCAGATGGTTCATCCATAATGTCTGCATCATCTCTCCAGTGACGCATCCAGCCGCGAGTGTCTTCATTTCCCTCAGAAGTTCAGAGGGCTTCTTACTGCCTAGCTCTAAACCTGTTGAGAGTTTATGTAGTTGTTTTTCTACAGACTCGGTGAACCGTGTGATAAGTTTATCTTTTAAAAATTTGTACTTATCTTGCAATGGAGGGTCTTTGAGGATATCCGAGATCTGTTTGAGGGCCTCTGAATCCAACTTGGACAGTACATGAGAATATTTGCTGTTATCGTTGGTGATCCTCCTGATAGTGAAGAGAACTTCAACTTGAATAAACCATAAATCTGGATAAATTTTCCAGAATGGTGGTAGATCGATTTTGTCAACTACAGTCACAGCCTGATTGATAGGTGTGTTGCCCTGTTGTGTGGATGGTAAACTACCGGACTGGGCGTTTGTACCTACTGCGAGCTGTACTATTGTCTTTTGTGCGTTTAAAAGTTGTTCAATTTGACCCGTGAGGTCGTCAATTATCGCTTGCTATTGTTGTTGGATCTCCTCTTGGGTACTTACTCTCGTCTCTTCCCTCTCCTCTCGCATGGGTGATCGGTCGAGTGTCATGTTGAATGTTTAGTCAAGAATGGTGATATGTGCCAGGTGCCAGGAGTCAATTTTCAAACCGCAGGTGGTCGCGTGGTGACTTGTGTGGTTATGTTTCCAAATCCACCCGAATCACGTCGGGGTCACCAATGTGGAATTTTCGAGGCCTTTTACATAAATAATTATCGAGTGGATTAATCAATAGTAACAATATTTATTGTTAGGAAAATCAATAACAAATAAAACGACAACATTAAATAACTTTAAATGAATCGATATAAAAACGCTACAGCTGTAGTCAGTTAGAAAGATCACGTCGGACGAGCCTGTTTTCTTTCCCTAGGCTTCGCTTTGGGTCGTTCAGCTGGTTTGGCAATTTCCTGCCTGGATGTGGCTCTGTCGGTAAGGTCAGTTTCCGGGTTCGGAGCTGAACTAGACGATGGATTAGCCACAGTCCGTACGTCAGTACGTCCCTCTAACGGTTCACCCGTCCATCTGCCCGTGTGACCATTCTAAATGTTTCTCATTTCTATTGATTCTCATTGGAAAATTTGGCAACTGTACAACTGCACCTTTTAACAAGCCAACCCACATATAACTGACACCGAAAAAAACTACCGCGGTACAGACTTACCAACTTAAATCTGTACAACTGCACGTTGTGACAAGACTACCCATGAATTTTGTATTCATGACATCACTACACATACATAACCCAACCGGCAGTTATCACTACCTATTCTTATCCCCACCGGGAATACATCCCTACCAGAAATACACTCCTACCGGTATGAATGGGAAAAAAAATATATGTATATTGCCACATTCATATCGGTAGGGATGTATTTCCACTAGGGATGTATTTCCGGTGGGGAAAAAAATGGGTAATGATGGCTGCCTGTGGGGTTACGTATGGGTAGTGATGTCACAAATGCAAAATTCCATGACCGGGTCGATTCGCTTTCTGATAGACTTGTTCCTCAGTAGGGATGTAAATTTCTAAAACTACTAGGTAATGATGTCTTCACAATAGAGTTGTAAAAATTAAAATCGTTTGGTTTGGGATGTCGCTTGGTGGGCATGTAAAAGGTGCAGATGTACAGTTGCCTCCTGTCCCTGTTAATGATAATGAAAAAGAAATCATAAAAAGAACTGGAAATGAAAAAAATCAGAACTCTCTCATTTATCAATATTTTTTGATGATTTTTTTAAATGTTGGTCTGATGCCCAACTTTTCAGAAAAAAATTGGGAAGAAGATCCCCGACATCCAATTTTTTGGCTTCGGACTTGAACGGTAACTTGCCTCCTTATTCTGCACTAAATTCGCACTAAAGTAATTACATATAACATTATCTAAAAATCATTTTAGCGTTTAGTTCCACCATTTGGAATGTAATAATGATCACTGTGTAGCTCATGTAACATGATATTGATTACTGAATGCATAATCCATGAATCATCCATGAATCATCTCAATTCTTCATCATCTCAATTCTTGATGAAGTAAAGTCATCACATTCTAATGAAAGACGAACGTCATGCATCTCCACCTGCATATTCTTTTTGAACTGAATGAATGTTTCGCACAATTTGTCTTTATTGAAAAGGCGTATGATTTTATTATTAAATCAGTTGTACAGAATCTTCGTGATACGTTCAACGGCCAAAGTATTGCTCAATCCAAGTACAATTGGATGGAAAATATTTGTAAATAGAATGAAAAACAATGATTTATTTATTTAAATCTATTTGCAATCAATGACGGGCTCGATCGTTTCACCTCCGCGAATCTGACCCCATCCAATTAAACGCCAATGCTTCTCGACACGTCGAGAGAGAGCAATTTTCTCGTCAATCTCCGTGCAGACAGGATTGGTGAGACTGATTTTAGCCAAATCGGCCTTTGTGGCTAGCACACGACCTCCGGTACTCAACGATCCAATGTTCACTAGCAGAACTTCGTTCTTGGATAATTTTGGAACCTAAAAGTTATTTCGAAATAATTAATCAATAGTTTCTCCCTGAGAAACCGAGAGGATTTATTTTCACAGGCTATTCGATTGATTTATCATCAAATTATCTCGGTAATCGATAATATTAAGAGAAATAATCAAAAATGAATTCAAAGAGAATTTTCTCGGCTGCTAGACCGATTTTATACCTTAGCTCCCTTCTTGTCTCCTTCAGTTCGGACTCCCAACAACCGCTTTAGAAGATAATACGATATCTCGAGTTCAGTGAAGATCTTGGGGAGAGCTCCCACAGCCCCGAGAATTTGTCCAACGAGGCGATCGGCCCTACATAGTGTCGGTTCGATCTTCGTTCCCACACCTGTCGTATAAGTGGAAAAATAATAATCAGATATGGTAAAAATCAAGCCATATATCGTCGTTGTAGAGCCAAAAGGGCATAAAATTATGCTTATATAAGCCACTCACGCCCTTTTGACTTTAGGACAACGAAGGGGAAGCAGTACCAAGTTTAAAAATTTCTAGAATTGAACAATAAACTATGATTTGATGAAACAGTACAGATCGGTAAATATGGTGAGCATACTATAAAAACCTATTTTTTAATTTAGAGAAGCGTTATGTGAACACCGTTTGACAGATCAAGTTGAAAATCGGACTCAATGTTTGAAGGATTACTCTATTTTATAATCGCGCTAGTTGAAAAAACCAAAAAGTTGAAAATGAAATAATACATGATTTTTCAGGTAAAAAAAAATTTCTCCAGAGTCATCATTATACATGATTTATATGAGACAAAAGTTCTGGGGGTGCATGTTTTATCACATTGAAGTTTTTGAGTATTCCGATTTGAATGTGATACAAGATCAAGATCATCATTCGATTGAGCAATAGGCCGTTAGTTTCGTTTGAGGGATTCCCCGCTATTTCAATAAAAAAAATATATTTTTTTTAGATTTTGATATAAATGGAGTATGTTGTAGAAAGGCCTCCAAGATATTCCAAAATGCGAGGAAACGAAAAAAAATTTTTTTTTTCAAAAATTATTCAATATGCAAAATTGAAGGTGTCACTAGGCGACTAAGTGTCTATAACATCATAACTCGAAAAATATTGGTTATGTCGAAAAAATTATATAGTCCTTTTTTATTGCTGATGGGTGATAGATTCAGATAAAAATTTTATTTATGCAAAAACGTCCAATTTACGATACGTGTGTTAATAAATGTTAGATTTTAAGCACGCCCGCTTTCGTTTCTCCGTTACCGACGGTTGATTGCTTTGGGCCTTCGGCCGCCACCAGTGGCGTTCGCGTTTGTGCGAGAGTGACTACTTCACTCAGACGACAGACTTCGAAACGTGTGCTTGTTTAATAAAGACTTTTTCATTTTTCTAATTAAACCTGTGTTTAGTTGACTGTCAACTTCTGCCATAATCCTTCAGGTTATGGGCCCAGATGTTTGATAAACATCACGCATTCCACTGCCCCTATAAATCTGTGAAAAAGTGTACAGTGGTAAAACTACACGAGACCAAGTGAATACTTGAGAGATCGCCTGGACACCACGCAAAAAATTAATAGAAAGAAAGAGGTTACTCTAGACGAGGACTATGGCTGATTCGGGAGGAAACGTGCCCGAGGGAATGGACAAAACAAGTAAGTGATGAATTTATAAAAGAGAAATTCATTAAATGCAAAGTACGTTGGCGGACACGTGGTGGAACGGCGGGAGAAACGTGGTCACGCCACGAGGCAAAGATGGCGGAAGGAAAAATGAATCTGAAGTCGAAATAAAGAAAAATTCATTTGAAAATTAAAATCAATCTTTGAAACGAAGAATTATCATTAAAAAGAAAAACAAGAATTGATTTGATGAAGTGTTTTACTATTGAGTACATCGAAAATATATTGAAGACGCGAATTTTAGTGTTTTGAGAAAATAGACAAAGCGTTGAAATGTAAGAGAGACACAGATACATGCGAGCGCACAGTATGGAGAGGGTACGGAGTGAAAAAGCTGCAGCCGCACGTAGCTTGAGCTCGGAATAAAGAGAAAAGGAAAAAGACAGAGCGAGCGAAATAGCAGTGCGAATTCCCCTTCGTAACTGTCTTTGTGCTTGTGCGATATATTATGTGCCGGTACAATTATATCTGAATACTTAAGAGTTATTAAATGCGTTTACCGAGTAATATGGGATCGATCCGTGACATATGTATATATACAGAAAAATAAATCAAGAACTCTAATAATTAATTAATTACAGCTGGTCTAGAATTGAAGGCGGTCTGGAAGTACCTGACCAACGTTTTCAAACTTAATGAGAGACACAAGGGTGAAAAGACCACCCTTGAAATTGATGGAGATAAAATCTCACTGACAACAGAGAAGGGTTTTCCTTACTTCACTGGTGAGCATTGTAACGCTGAAAGTGAATTGTTGTAATTAAGTTAATCGTAATATTGCGATCGCGAGTGCATATGTAGTTGTAGGCCGGCATACAGCACATAAGTGTAATAAATAATTAATAATTGCACCGGATAAACTTGAAACAAAAAACAATAATAAATGATTAAATACTAGTTACAAATTTTACATTCGAAATTATCAAGACTCTGAACAGTCGGTCAGCAAATTTGTACTCGCATTCGGTACTATATGAACTGACTGACTGGAGTGGGCATGGGTGAATATATCGCATTCGTAATTCAAACATCCCTACTCATCCGAGTACTAATTATATTTGCATTCGGTATAGTAGTCCAAGGATATAGTCCTCGGCAATTCTTTTGATTAAATATTTTGTGTTCTGGAATTTCTGGAAAGAAGAATGATCACCGAAGAACAGTGGAGTAAACGTAAACAGTGGAAAGACGAGATAGACCGAACAGGTCAAAAGCCGGTGACGCCGAGGGACGACAGAGCAAAATTCAACTATTCCCGTGATAGTAGCGTCGTAGATAAGACACCGGGACAGGATAGTAATGACAATATCAATGGGTCGGTACCAGGGGATGAGTCAGTCCGAGAATGTGAAATAAGAGCAATAGTCGAAGAATATTTCGCGAATTCAAACAAGAAAGAGTCAAATACTATAACAGAAAATGGAATTGTCGAGTTGGCTGAGGCTATCAAAATAGGAATAGGTTCAAACAGAGATGATGTTAAGAGAGGGTATCAACTAACCGAAAAGATGAAGTGCGAATACTTCTATGACTATTTCTCATCCGAATTAAGGACGAAAGAGTTGCTGTATATCATTGATCCAACTGTAAAACCATTGATGGCCCCACACTAAGAAAAATCCGACGCTATTTCAAAGTCGCGCTCGACATCGAAAAAAATTGAAAAGCGCCGACTTTGTTTCAAAGTCGCGCTCTTGAATCGAGGGCGGCACCGTTGATTTATAATTTTCGGCGCTTGGGGTCCTATTTTCCGCCGTCAAAAAGCCGCACTCTTAATTCAATGTTGCCGGGATTCAGTTCAATGTTGACGCGAATTATTCAAGGGTAGGAACCTTTGATTTAAGGTTCCTCACGCTCTTGATTTATACGAATCAAAATTGAAGTCTAAGGCAATTGATTCAATGTCTCACGTCGATGAATTGTGAGCATGACATACGATTCGAGGTGAGAAAAATGTATGCATTTCACAGGTATGTACATTTGTTTTAACGCCCAGACGTCTAAAAAACAGATCTGTCTTCGACAAAAACAAATCGTGCCAGCAATGAGAAAAATACATCGAACTATTCTGCGAATTCAGGGAGGCCCGTCCCCCTACCCCCCAAAGCCCACAGCTGTGTCGCCGGACTCATGCACGGACACGCTGAAAAAAATTGAATATCAACACGACGAAAACCAACAAAAACAGGTGCAGTTGAGACGCATTTTTTTTCATTCGTCGGGAAGACGTGATGTGATGAGGACGATGAGCCTGAAACTGGCGAACGATTCTGGTGAACGATATCCACAACTTTTGGAGCGGACTATACTGCCGACGCTCCAAAGGGACCGCGGACGGGGGTCAACTTTTTTACCTCTAATTTTGATAAATAATTAAGGAAGATGACAAAATATGCTTCACCCACCCTTACCCCTCCAAATGCATACATTATTTAAATGAAAAATAAAATTGCTAAATTTAAATACAAATTTTTAACATTGGGACTTCGAGGGGGTGTAGGGGGGATGCATAATAAGGGTTGAAAATTTTACCCAACAGGGGAGGGGGTTGCAGAATGTATAAGCTACCCCCATTCCTCCGTTCGCATGTGTTAATTAAATAAAAAAATTAAATTGTTAAATTTAAATAAAAATTTTGAGTATTTGGACTTTGTGAGGCGGTGGAGGGGGGGACGCACAATAAGGGAGGGTTGCAAATTTTACCCAACAAGGGGAGGGGGTTTCAGAATCTATCTGAGCCACCCCCATCCCTCCGTTCGCAAGTGTCAATTAAATAAAAAAAATAAAATTGTTAAATAAAAATAAGAAATCTCGAAAATTTCACAGGGGGTGGCAGGGGGATGCATAATGGGGGAGGGTTGAAAATTTTAGTCGACAAGGGGAAGGGGTTTCAAAATCTATCTGAGTCACCTCCATCTCTCCGTTCGCATCTCTCTATATAATAAAAGAATAAGGGCTAAAATTCAGGAGACGCCTGAAAATTAAGGGGACCCCTGAAAATTCAGGGCACGCCTCCTCTTTCCCATAAATATGAGAGTTAGAGCATCAAAAATCAAGAAAAATCGGGAAATTAGTGATATTTTACACATTTTTCTCGATAATTTACATTTATCTCTCATATTTCATGTTATTTAGCTGAATTTATTGGAATTTAACGTGAATATTAGCAAAATAAAGGAGATAGAGCATCAAAAATCAAGAAAAATCGGGAAATTAGTGATATTTTACACATTTTTCTCGATAATTTACATTCTATCTCTCATATTTCGTGTTATTTAGCTGAATTTATTGGAATTTAACGTGAATATTGGCAAAATAAAGGAGATGGAGCATCAAAAATCAAGAAAAATCGGGAAATTAGTGATATTTTACACATTTTTCTCGATAATTTATATCCTATCTCTCATATTTCATGTTATTCAGCTGACTTTGAAATTTAACGTGACTATTGGCAAAATATCAACATATTTAGCTGAATTTATTGAAAGTTAACGTGAATATTGGCAAAATATCAACAAAAATGGGGGAATGACTGATATTTTACACATTTTTCTTGATAATTTACGTTCTATCTCTCATATTTCGTGTTATTTAGCTGAATTTATTGGAATTTAACGGGAATATAGAGGATCAAATATCAAGGAAAATGGGGGAATGACTGATATTTTGCACATTTT